GACTGTCAGTGGTAGCTAAATGCACCTCGCTAAAAGCTTCAGTGTGAGACTTTTGTTTGAAGGCAGGGTATCATTAGTCCTTTACTCCTACCCCTCACTTGGTAATCGTGATGCTGCAACACTTGTCACACTTCTTGATGAGTTATCACACATCAAAAAGGGCTTACGGGCACATTATATAAATCCTTCACAGGTACTGAGGAAGCACACGGCCAATCTGCATATTTATTCCACGATCACCTGAAGATACTCTGATGCATATGTCACGGTGACATCCAAACAGCTGTTTTAGGCTCAAACGGGTGACACGGTTATGATAAAATGATCAAAACAGACAGACATTTTTTTTCCGTTTCACAAAGAAGTAAATACTTTCCACAGGACAAATCACTTCAAGTTTGGACTCAGAAGAGCAGGGAACCAGAAAACTTTAAGCACCTGAGAATAACTTGGTTCTTCACGGTGACCTTCTGACACACTTCCCTCTCTAAACATTTGAGCAAAAAAGAAAAACAAAACGTCACCTTCTAGATTTTTACAGCCGTTGTCCACTCCAATGTCAGGACTACTTTTCTAAAGCTCCTCTGGCGGTGTCGTAGGTGGCTGTGGCACATGGTTGTTGTTGGCCATTAATTAGTGTAAAGCTCCTCCACCTCCCTGCACCGTTTTCCAGCATGTCAGACTTGTTTATTTTGCACAACAGGAACAATTAAGCAGCTGACAAGACAGCCACCGTTTGAAGTCCTTCCTGCTACTTCCAGTGACTTACAACGCAAGTTAGCAGGCACCTTGCAGCACCCTGCTGCTGCCTTGTAACCTTCAGCGGATGTCTTGAAATGCATTTTGTAGTACGCAAGTAGTAGTAGTATTATCATAACCAGATGCCCACCCTACCACCCACCTCTGCAACATCTTTGAAAAATGAGGTTCGGTCTTGAATATTAAAGACAGTGCGGTTCATTTATTTAGGGCTGCGTTCAGGCCACCGAGGGATGCTGATTTGAATCTCGTTTGTTAAGCTGTCTATCCTTATCTGTCAGCATCAGAGGATGCAATTTCTCTCTTCCCACCTCATCCTCCTTGTCTTCTAAATGGCAGGGATATTTAGAGGTGCTTGACAACTGAGGCATGCAAATTAGCAGTTGATGTTTCCTGTGTTCTTTCAGTTTCCTTCACTGTTCACCCCCCCACTCCACCCCTGAGTCGGCCCTTTTAGCCTAACTGAGAAGATATATTTGTGATTCTATTTTCATCATCATGTAGGAGGGAAGTATGGGCTGGTGGTGGTGATGGTGTGTGTGTGTGTGGGGGGGGAGGGGTTCAAACACTTTATCCATAGTTTCTCGAACTGCAATCAGAGTAATGGCAAAACAGCAGCCTCCTTTGTATGGCGAGGAATGGAGGAGCAACAATAGCAGCGTTCATTTATTGGTGCATTTTACATTTGTTTAGCCCCGCATACCAATGTGATGTATTCATATACAGCAGCAACTTCGCACATTATCAGCAGCTCTCATTTTGAATTAAGCATAAATTCAATAGTTATAAAAATAATTTACTAGAAACTCCCAACCCCATTAGGAAGTTGTAGCCTCTTATTAAACTGTTTATAATAGCTGTCATATTTATTAGGTGCGATGCTGCTGCAGTGTGATCCTTCATTATATTAAATTAAAACTAATCAAAAGCAGCATTGGCCAGCAGAGACTGGTGATGATGGTCTCAGATTGCACAATATCAGGCTGAAAATAGTCCGGTCTGACATATGTTGGGCGTCAGGCTTGACAGTTTATTGTTTTATCTGGTCTAGTGTGTCCCAGTGGAAGAAAACCATGGATCTTGTATCCTTGCTGACACTCAGGTGATCTGCACCATGCCAACACGAATATTCTGTGGAACGGTATACATAACAGAGTAATGTCTGAGGAGATGTATGCAGTGCCGTATAGCAGCAAATGTTCCACACATGCACACCCTCTGCAGGGTGTGAATAGGCCTTCAATCATGGTGTGTCTGCACCGAGTTCATCTGAGTTCACCAGTGTACAGTAGCAACTTTACAAAGAGGCTACCCACAGCTACTCTGCAGAAAGATGCATGAAGTATTTATTGTTCTGTCCTTAACTGTGTCAGCACAGAAAAAGTTTGGGCTGTGTTGTTTCAGTCTTACATCTCCTGTGTGTCTGATATATATATTTATTAAAAAAAAGGCCTCACTCCTCTGTTCCAGCAGAGTACAGGTAACGTTTGAGGTGAAGGCTTCAAGCTTGTCACTCCCCACACATATATGACATATAGAAATTTGAGAGTAATGAGTAAATAACCACCCGGTTACAGGTGGATTCTGTTGGCATAGAGGGGTCAAAAACGGGAGACAAAAATTCAGTGTATGTCAGTTTTGCAGTTCCAGTATAAACCACCATATAAGAGGGTGTGTTGGGTATATGATGTGAAAGGAGTGGGTGTGTATTAAACAGTGCAGTTCGAGTTGAACTAACTGAACTACCTCACAGGCTTCACTTCATTTTTCTACTCCATTTTCTACTTTTGCACAAGTACTACATTTGGCTTCGAGCACTTCCAAAATGCAGGTGACCTACAGTCAACACTCTGCCTTAATGCCCTTGTATAAACACAGAGATGGAGTCATCAGCACTCGCTGCTGCTCATGATATGCTTCCTACTGTATATAGATCCAGTGTTCGTGGTGCTGTTATAAAGGAAGGGGTGTAGATGTAATGCCTTCTAGTGTCCTGAAGGCTTTTTCGCTCAGTCTCAATGACAGACAAACTTTCAAAGGTAACCAGCTGGAAAAGTCAACCAAGTTTTGAGCAGAAGGTTTGCTCTTTGTGCTAAGTAAGGTGTGGTTGCACTTACCTTTAAAACACATCATGCTGTTCACTGTTCAACAAGACAATTTGACTTTAGTCATGGTGTTTGAATGGGTAAACAGGTTGATAGCCATGTGTAACAACAGAATAATACAGTTAATAAGACGAAAGCTAAATATACCTGTAAACCGGTCTGCACAGGCCCGTAATCCATCAGGCCCTTGTACTTGGTCAAGCCCAGTTGGCTTCTGTATTGTCCTTTGCAAACCAGGCAAAGAAGCTGCTGAGATTTTCAGCCAGCCTTGCATTGTTGTTAGTGGTTTCAGGCTGTAAATTTCTGCTTTACTATTGATAGACTGTAATGAACTGGAACTCTGTCTCTGCCTGCTGTGGATGGGAGTTGAAATTGAATATGTACTCTGTCTGAAGTTTGCGGTTATAGCCCTTATGTGCTTCTTTAAGTTGCCTTTAGCTATACTGCCAGTTATAGCTGACTCAAAGCCACAATGCATAATGGAGATATGCAGGATATATAGCACATGAACAAAGCCATCTACACAGTACATCTACAAGAGCTTCTCAGCAATGGAAACCCCTCTCATGAAGCCGTGGTGCACAGTTTTTGTGCTGCTCTTAGTACCAGCAGAGTTTTGTCAACTTTGTCAACTATATACTTCAGCACTCAGCAACCCCACTCTGTAACTTTACATGGTTGGCCTCTTAATTGCTGAGCTATCTAAATGCTTCCACTTTGCAATAATACCACTTACAGTTGATCGTGGAATATGTAAGAGGCGACTCGCAGCTGTGTCAGGATCCTGTTACGACACTCAAATTCAGTGTTTGATTTTGTACACTAGTAGGAATCGGACTGAAAACAGCTGAATCCAAAGATTAAGAGCTGTGGTCCAGTATTTTTGTCTATAAAGCATAGCTAAAATGTTTGACCATTACCTTGCTTTTTGCCATTTCCCAGTTTTAATCAGAGGCATTTTTTTAAATTAACGACTGATATTTATAAACCTCATCATACTTGCTTGGAGGTGGTGACAGCAAAGCCTGTATGTGGAGTTAGAAACAAAATCCCTTAACGTAGGTAGGAGTCAGCAGCTGCAATTAAATCTGTGAATCTATGTTTTCAGATGCACTGCTGTCTTTTAAGGTCTTTAAGTTTAACAATTGCATATTTGCTGTAACTGGATATTGTAATGCAAGAAATGACATTTTGGGGAAAAGGAAAAATGTTGTCAGAGAATATTCACTATCAACATTTTTTTCCCATTTGCCAGATGTCTTAATTAAAAACATTTCCTCATTATGCTAATGAAAAACTAATTTGATTACAATTATGCTTCCTTAAAAATGCAGCTACTGTTGCAGTACAATGTAATTTCTAGGAAACAGGTTTGATAGAAGTACATTAATGCGTGCTCCTGCAGACCCTTCCACACCTCTACCTGACAGTGCTTTATTCTCTTACAGAAATATGACTATCGTATTGAAAAAGTTAGCTATCCGTTTTCCTAATTTGTTAACTTTTTCTGTGCTTTGACTTCCTGTTATCGTTTGTCCATGCTTCCATTTAGCCTGGAGCATCCAGTCGTGTGTGTGTGTGTTTGTATCTCACCAAATACAAAAATATTGCGGGGATGAACATAACTAGCACCCACCACTGACAAGCTGCCAAGTGTTGGTTTTGTAGTAATCATTTAGAAATAAACCAAAGCCACTCAAGGTCCACCATCAGCCACAACAATAGATGCTACCCCACAGCAAAGTCTGGGACATTATTACTGTAGTTTTTCAAACCAAGTAGCTACAAAGAATCCATTTTTCATTCTTCAGGCAGAGATATTGCTTGTGAAACAAGGAAGCGCAGAAGTCTAACTGGCTACTGATGACCAATGACGCCTGTGACCAATTTTTCACAGCCCGTGGGCTTGCTGAGCGGTTTCCCAGCTTTCTCAGTTCCTGTTTATTGGACACATATTAAGCTGGCTTGGTCCACCACCTGCTGAATGTTGACTCATTAAATATTGCATTGCACTAAAACAGTTGGTCAAAAAAAGTAGAATTACATATCATCTGTTCGATATTTGAAGATCTATATATATATATATATATATATGTACATATGCTAACGTAATTTCTGTGTCTTTGTTTTGTCCAGTGGTGAGTCAGAACCTGGTGACAGACAACGTGACCGTGGTGGAGGGAGAGATGGCGATCATCAGCTGCCGGGTGAAGAACAATGACGACTCCGTTATCCAGCTGCTCAACCCCAACAGACAGACAATCTACTTCAGAGACATGAGGCGTGAGTGTTGTACAACCTTGAATGACTTCACTGTCATTCTTTATTAATTAGGCTATATTTTTGTGTGTTTGAGTGTGTTGATGTAAGAAAGTAAATTGACTTTTTTTGTAAAAGAAAATCAATTAGTGAAGCAGCTGATGCCTATTTCACTTTTAAATGTCAGCGTTTTTACATTACAATGCGACGTGCCAAAGAGAGTTGATAATGAGATACCAACATGAATTTAGCAGGCTGATTGGACTTTATTGTTGCTTTTGGTTGCTAAGTATTCAAGCATTGGGTAGAATCAGGCTTTTAGTTTTTATAGGGTAGTGCATTGGAGATTTTAGATATTTAATAACTTACCTTTCTTTCCATTTTGTTTGAGCTAGCCGATTAGCCTTTGTGAATACAACTAAATCTGGCACGACATGGAATAATTTCTTTGCACAACCTTTCCATCAAAATAAAGGAATTTTAGTTTTACTTTGAAAAGGGAGTGCCTTTTGGGAGTTTTTGAGCCTATATGTGTCACTTCCAAACAGTACCTCAAAGAGAAGTGGGTCGAAATCCAGGAAGTGCTCCTTCTCAAAAGTAATTAAAGCGAGCTTATGGTTGATGGCAGATGATTTCAGCAGTAGTGTTAGACTTAGTTGTGTGTTTTTACTGAGGAAATAGAGATGCTAGGAGACAATCTTGTATATTGTGCGTTGTCGTATTGGAATGATACAACAGCAGAAATATGAGGCTACAGGCACGGGACAGTCTGTGGTGTAACGATAAAAGGCTTGGAGCTACAAACAAATTCTGGAGGATCTGGAGTGATGGAGGTATTAGGACAAGTGTAGTCATAGCAAAGTAAATGACTAAGTCAGGTTGTCCATTTGAAGAGAACATTTATAAAAACAGCAGTATTTTACATTTTCTATGTGCATCAGATTTCATGCCAGAAGACTAGGGTGTATAATGCATGGGATATACCACGGTTAGACAGCTTCTTGATTTTTATTTATTTTGGAAGCCTTTATGTGGAACATACAATACAACAATATTAAGATATTTTTTTAATTTTTCAGAAAATTAAACAAAATAACAGTAAGTCACATATGTTTGACCCTCAAAGTGATCCCCCTTCCCCAGTGTGGACCTCAGTGAAATTGAGTTCAGCTCCCCTCCTTTAAACATTCCCGCTGCTGTGGGAAGAAGTCAGTGAACCTTCAGATTTAATAACTGGTCAAACCTCCTTTGAGAAGGAAACACCTCAAAAAAGTGTTTCCCATGGCAGCAGATCAGGCCTTTACAAAGTTCAGGAACAATTCCTCTTCTGCTGTAGGATGTATGTTTCGTGTGACTGGCTCTCTGGACTTCTGGTCTCTGACTGTGTTGACTCATGGACCACCCCCCCAAACACACACACACAATTTTTTCTTTCTATATTAGATTTACTAACATGTTTCGGGTCATTGGTGTCTGGTCGCTGCTGCATTACCCAACTTCACCCTTCACCCGAGTAAGCAATATTTTTAGATGGAGTTTCTTAAGGACTGGGTGTTTCTCAACCATTAGAAATGGTTGTCTAAAATCACAAACCCCAATCGCTTATCGAAGAGACGTCTAACAACCAGCAGCTTTAGCTGATGAAAGCTTGTTTGCGTTCTTTACTGCTTCTACAGCCTGACATCATCCTGAAATATACCAGGATGCTTTGCTGTTAACTAGAGGAGATGCAAATTTGCTTAGATGAATTTAACTGGATTGCTATGTAACGTAACAGCACAGGATCAAGACCACAATCTACTGCTGACAACTGGCTGCGCACATTTGCAGTCTGCTCTATGGGTGTTTGAATTCAAGGTGCCAAATAAAATTGAATTGAATTGCGTATCCAGTTGTAATATACAATCAATTGAGTGCTATAATAAAAATAGATTGTTTGTTCATTATTGTAACTTATGATTATAACCGGGGTAAGTTTGGCAGGTCGGATGTGGGGGGGGGATTATCAAACAGATGACATCCTGCATGGGCAGGATAATCAGGAACGATTCTGTTCCAGCGTTTCAATATAGAAAAGAAATGCTGTGTGTCAACCAATCTCAGCAGTGGCATCAGAATTCTCTGCAAAAGTGAGATTTGCAGATGCGTCTTTCATCTTGTTGAACTGCAGCTAAGCACCTGACTGCTCTCTGCAACATTCTGCAGAAATTACACACATGGTTTGTTGGCTTTGCATACTAACGCAGCTGCTGTGATAGGCTGACGGAGAGGAGCAGACGCACTCCGGTGTGAAAAGATTAACCCTAATCTGACCCTCTGACCCTTCACTGCATTGTTCACAAGTTAGAGCCCACAGTTTGTGATGCATTTGGGTCTCTTTCAGAGAATGAATTGGGTCGAGAATTAACGTCCTTCCCTGTACAAAGATTTGCATTGCAAACAGCACTTCATGGAAAAGCAGAAAAAGTCCACTTTTAAAGCAGTTTGTATTTTAGATTTTTATGTAGGAATCTGCCACAGCGGAATATTTATTAAGCCCAGTATTCCTTAAAAATTAGGCACTTTGTGCTGGTGAAATTTGAGCTTATTTCATATTAATTATTTTTCATTGGCTCTTCTGACACGGAGAGCAATGTCAATAACATGCTCTTTTATTTCATTTATATTGCATGTGATGTACTAAATAGCATAAAAGCATCCAGCGATGACGTCGCGTGACATTAATTAATATTCTTCTTACATTATTTGCATTTCCGGGCAGCTACTTTAAGTTTGACCCACATGTCTGCAGCCAGATTAATAGAGAACAAAGTTAGTATAATCCACCGTGTTTAGCTCTCAGCATGTCTGCTTCAATAAAAGCAGCTCATACCCCTAAACATTTAATGACCTGTGTGTTTATTCTTATCCTCCCCAATTATCGTGTCACAGCTCTAATTAGCCGTGTTTAGCTGGACATATTCTGTTCTCTCCTCTGTTGTGCCAGTTTCTTTGTGTTTTTTTTAAGCCGCCATGCGAAATGGTGACCTGCTCTTAAAATACACATTGCTCTTAGCAGTTTTCATAGTTTTCAAGCTGTATCTTGGAAATGCTTGTTAATCTGCATGTAATTTTATTAGCAGTTTACATTTAAAAAGAAAAAAGGACGACGTGGACCATATCTGGTAGAATTTTTATGTTGGCAGCAATAGGATGTTTTGTATGGTTACACTGAGGTCACTTAATAAAGTCGCAAAATTAGATTTAGCATTCATCATGTTGGTTAGTCTGCTCTAAAAGCAGGCTACATGCTCCACTTTGTACAGATGTGACACCACAGACTCTGGATGGTAATAGATCAAATGGCTGCTGCCACCTGAGGGAATTTGCCCCTCTTAAATCATTACAGTTGGTCCGGCCCATGCAGCTTAGTCGTTCCATCACAGACACTTGTTCAGGAGAACAAATGAGCGCGCAGCTACTGGTGAGGGACAATGACGTCTGGTAATTATTATTAAATATGGTGTTGTCAAACTGTCACCAAGAAAAATGCCCGGTTGAGTCAAATGGCCTATTAATTATGCAGCTAAATATTGCATAGAATTTGCCTTAAATGTAATTTCAAAGGAAAAAAGTGATCTCCAGAGAAATCCTAAAGAACAATCTGTGCGTGAAGTAAAATGTCTCGCTCATTAAATAGTTTTGTAGCCTCTGAACAAATGCAGTCCCCTGCTGAGAGCGATGATGGCAAAGCAATTAGCCGTGGAGGACAGGTAGAATACCAGCGCAAGCGGTATATATGAAATGATGTCGTTTACTAAACACACACACAGGGATGATAGATAGTTTGGTGTTTACATAAAAAAAATCAAACCAAAACAGATAAATTGTGCTAGTAAAAATAAGTCTAGTCATATCAGCTTTATACTGTATGTATAGCCCATTTAAACCCAGTGAGCTCCATATAAAAATCTTTAAAATCTAATTATTACATAAATAATGGATTAAAGTTGTTTAATCAATAAAGCTGCCCTGACTGACTGCTTATTAATTACTGCTTTTTTTCCCCCTTTTACCATCAAACACATGCTGAGGGACAAAGAGAGAGGGGCACAGATAGTGAGCGGTTACACTGGAGCGTACCAAACCAGGACTTTGCTGAGAAAACTGAGAAGAAACACATCAATAAGGAAAAACTACAGGATAGTAAGAACTGAACTGTAACCTCTAATTGCCTTCACTGCTTTAAGCCTAAAACTCCTGAACTGAAAATTAGCTTCCCTCCAGCCCTGGGCAAGCAGTTAAGTTTAGGAAAAGATTCTGATCTGGACTCCAACCTATTTCAATTTAACTCCAATTAGGGCTGCACGATTAATCGTTAGAAAATCGCGATCTCGATTCATACTTATGTGCGATCTCATTTCCAAAAGACAACGATTTAAAAAAATGTAAAAAAAAAGACGACGACGACGATTGTACCGCATTTTGATCCGGGACGTAATCTGCATGAAAACAAGCGCTCACTCTTCCTGCTCAACAAATGACAAGGGCGGAGCCTTATACCACGTGATGCTAAAATTAGCAGGGAAAAAACAACGGAGAGCACGTCAGGGATGACGAGAAAGTGACAGGAGAAAATCCGTCCCGGTCAACCACCCAAACATCAATAATGGGAACCTTATACAGCGCTTCCCTATACCCGTCGAACTTCCGCAGGCACAAAGAAATCATGGAGGCCATCACTTATCACCTGACCAAAGATATGGCTCCCATCAACACTGTGCAAAACGAGGGATTTAGGAAAATGATCAACACCCTAGACAAACGCTACACAGTGCCGTCCCGCAACTATTTTTCTATTGTTGTACTGCCTGCTCTATACACGCAGCGTCGAGCAACGGTGGAGACGGAATTTCAAGCAGTACAACGTTTTGCGGCAACAACAAAATGTGAGACATTTGTTGTTTTTATGTTTGTTTATTGTTTTTATGTTCAGTTTCAACTGTTACGAAGTTGATGTGCAGTTAATAAGTGCAATAAATATT